GGGCACATACAAAAAGTCCCAGGAATCCAGACTTACTGATCTACTGATTCATCGGAAAACTAAGCAAGAGTGATGAGAGCCAATCGTCGATCCGTATCCGCAAGCCCCGAGTTAAGACTGCCACGTCACTCTGTGCCGGATCCCAGAGTGTAATTATTGATGAGCATACCAATAAGTACGCTGGTTGATATAGGTGCCACCATCATTAGATCCCAGCTATTCAACCGGACGCGACTTATAAATACTAAATGCCGTTCATGTACTGTGACTGGAGATATGGTGACATATTGACCAATTTTCATTGTTCATATCACTATCGGGAAGACTATTACGCATCGTGCGCTGGTATTGAGGAAAATATCATCTTAGGGAGGGACATAATGGGCACCTACGGTTTGAACTTTATTTCAAACAGGGAGTATTGAAACTGGAAGATGAAAATTTCGTGTGGCATCAGTAAAAGGGCACCTCAGTACAGGCAGTAAGCAAGAAGTACCGGTTAGACTGATGAATGTTAGTTCTTACGACGTGAAACTGAAGAAAGGAACCACTACTGTTTGGAAACTGGCAAGCGAGTCGTCAATACAACGCGTACGAGTGTTTCAACCAGATTCGAGAAGATCCCTGAAAAGTTGCCTGCCCTGATAGCGGAAACATGTGAAAGAATGGACACCGAACAGAAAGCATCCGTTACCTGTTGATTTAAATGAAAGGGCCAAATGTCGATGCAAAATTGTTAGAAACAAAATAAATACTGACAATTGTCAACCTATCTGACAAACACCCAGAAGACTGCCTTTCGTTAAGAGGGAAGAGGTGGAGAAGATTGTCCGAGATGCGAAGGGGGAAAATGTGATTAAAGATCCGGATTTTGTGTGGATTATCGTCAGCTCAACAGCGTGACTAAGAAAGACAGGTATTCGGTACCGCAAATTAGCGACACTCTTGCTGGATCAAGAATATGCATAACGTTAGATTTAAAAAGTGACTATTGCCAAGTGGAGTATAAGCTCCAGAAGATAAGGAAAAGGACAGCCTTTACCCTTGGATCAGGATTATGGCAAATCTCCGCCATGCTGTTCGGATTATGCAATGCGCCAGCCATTTTTGAGCGACTAGTGGGATCGGTTCTTAATGGATTATCCTGGATGACTTGTCTGATTTATTTGGATGATATTGTTGGCAAAGCTTTCCAGGATTCACATTAAGAACCTTGAAGACGTATTCCACCGACCCAAAGAGGCCAACTCAACGTTGAATCCCAAAAAGTTGAATAGGGAATATGCATGTACTTTTTAAAATTTTTAATCGCTTTTTTAAATCGTTTTTACAATGTAAAAAGTGTAAACACTGTTAGAACAATTCAATTAACTTGTAAAATAATATTTAAAACGTAAACTTTATATTATTCGATGTGTTTGAACCATTGAAATAAAAGACTAAGGATGGAGCTTATGTCTTATTAGCTAGGATCCTATTAGGCTTCTCAATATGGTGGACGTTCATACGTGCAGGGACGTACACACATTTAATATATTTAATTTTGTGGCGGATAGTACTGATATTACATAGATTTTACTATACAGGGTGTCAATTTTAAAACTTGCAGTCGGCCATATTTTCCAAACTTAAGAAGATACCTATTGAAAACCGCGCAACACCGTGTCAAGGGTATCGAGGGGGAACCAGAATGACATTATGAGTGGCAACCCCCCACCCCCCTTAACCCCCCAGTTCCCCTCTTTAAAAATCTTAAATGGCAACCCCATACTTGTGACACATCGTTAGAAAGCTACTGAAAAATGCTTTCAAGTGGAACCAATAAAATCCATATTCATTAAAACAATTTAACAAAAATTTAATAATTAACAAAACCAGGTGTCAAATTCTTGACAGAATAGCTTCCTAGCTGAAACCAAAAATTGCCAACATATGTACGTACATACAGACGGAAAGAATAAGAAAGGTGCATTTTTTACGCATGCATTTTGTTTGCTTTTATTAGAGGGACCTACCATCCAAATTTCGTTAAAATTGCTCCATAAATAAGAAAGTTGGATGTTGCACATGCGCAACACTATTTTTTGCGCATGCATTTTGTTAGCTTTTATTAAAAGGACCTACCATCTAAATTTCGTTTTAATTGTTCCATAAATAAGAAAATTGCATTTCTGCGCATGCGCAACACGATTTTTGCGCATGAATTTTGTTTGCTTTTATTAAAAGGACCTACCATCTAAATTTCGTTAAAATTGTTCCATAAATAAGAAAGTTGCATTTCTGCGCATGCGCAACACGATTTTTGCGCATGCATTTTGTTTTCTTTTATTAGGAGGACCTACCATCCAAATTTCGTTTTAATTGTTCCATAAATAAGAAAATTGCATTTTTGCGCATGAATTTTGTTTGCTTTTATTAAAGGGACTTACCATAGAAATTTCGTTTAAATTGCTTCAGAAACAAGATCGTTGCGTTTTGCACATTATGCAACACAATTTTTTGACTTTGACAATTTTTTTCTCCGTTTTTTGATAATATAACCCGGCCCAATTTTTTGTAGGTTGTACACAGGAAAATAAAGTCTTCCAAATAATAGAATAAAAATTTTAGGTTGCTATTTGAAAAAAAAAGTTCGATGCCGTTACGGCGCTCCAAAATTTTTTTTCAAAAATCCGGCCCGTTATTTTTCTGTTCGGTATGCCTAAACATATATACAAAATTTCAACAAAATCCGTCGAGCCGTTTTCTCAGAAAATTGCCAACAAACGTACGTACGTACGTACGTACGTACATACAGACGGAAAAAAATTTTATTCTTTAAAAGTTGCTTAAAATGGTCTAAAACGTCGACATGTGATGAAATTTTGAAATGTTCAAAAAACGGCTATCGCAATAGCTACCTAGCACATGCTAGGAAGCTAAAAAAACTATATGTTGACATTGAAGGATTTTGACAAATTGGCCAAGAACTTCAACCTGGGCTGCTTCATTAAGCAATCTTGGTTGCTTTTTTTATTGACTTACAGACTTACAGTACAGCTGAACGTGTGGAAATAATATTTATTTATGGCTCCGAAAATCTATCATCTTTTAGAACAGCCAGAACGTTTAATGAGAGACATCTCAGGAGAATGTAAGCCATGGCTATGTTCAAAATTTGGTCGCTAAATTCGAAGAAACGAGATCTGTTATCAATAAAAGAAACAAAGCAACCAAGATTACTTAATGAAGCAGTTCAGGTTGAAGTTCTTGACCAATTTGCCATAAATCACTCAATGTCAACATATAGTTTTTTTTTGTTAATTATTAAATTTTTGTTAAATTGTCTTAATGAATATGGACTTTATTGGTTCCACACGAAAGCATTTTTCAGTAGCTTTCCAACGATGTGTCACAAGTATGGGGTTGCCATTTAAGATTTTTAAAGAGGGGAACTGGGGGGTTAAGGGGGGTGCCACTCATAACGTCATTCGGTTCCCCTCAATACCCCTGAAACGATTTTCAATATCTTCTTCAGTTTGGAAAATATGGCCGACAGCAATTTTTAAAACTGGCACCCCGTATAGACAGATCCATCACTTCTTATAAACGAAATCCAGCTATCTCGTCATTCCCTGTTTAAAGGAAATCTGAAAAGTAGATGTATTTCAAATTGTTGTTTTAGCTTTTGACTTTCTTATATTACACGATTTACAGCTAATGTTTCACTTTACGGTAAATGTCAATTAATTGTCAAAGTCGGCCATATTGAGAAGCCAATTGGATTGGATTGGATCCCAATAAGCGTACTTTATGTAGGTACCCCTTCTTCCTTAGTCTTTTATTTCAATGGTTTGAACGCCGCCACATTTTCAGCGGGCCTTGAATGACGTCACAAGTCACCATCAGTATTTGTTTAGTTTTAGTGCTGAGTTTTTATACAGATTATCAGTTGTAACATAGCTATTCAGACAATGGAAAAAGCTAAAAAACCATTTTATAGGTATTGTCTTGTACCAAAGTGCAAAAACGCTGTTAGAAATACCTATTATATTTGGTTCCATACCTATCTGTATATGTGACATACCTATGTAAGTTTGGATGTTGGTGGGAGTATATTAGTGTCGTATAAATTGAAATACGGGGAAGATTTGCCTCAATATGTTACCATTTTGTGTACGACTGAAGTGTCTGATTTGTTGTAAAAGTATTGTAGTAAATTATGTATGTATGAAAATACAGAATAACCTCAAAAGGTTTACAAATCACGTTTCCCTTTCAACGCTCCTTTTCTTATCATGTTCCAGGACATAATGAATCTACTACGGGATAAATTTGTCGTACAACACTCATTATAAAAATTGAGATAAATAGCGTTTGTCAGTAAGAATGAGATGAAGACGGAAAAATAATGAGACGGGCGGATTGTTGTATAGGAGCCATTACTAGTTAGGCATCTTTTGCAAGAATTTTAAACAGTCACTGCAGTAAAAAGAAAACGATTCAGAAGTAGGCAGTTCACAGTACCTATTGTATTTGTATGGGAAGATGCGCGAATTAAGTTTTTCGATATATTATGATCCTCTCCAAAAGCATTATAATAATTGAATAACTTTTTAACGTGCTGGTGTCATCGGTGCGAAAACAAGTTTTCTGTATAAAAATATATAGGTATCGCAGAACTTCTTCAATCAAATCAAAGTTCCATACAGTGCAGTATAAAATTAATAAAAGCTACGAAGAAGCATTAGAATAACGTAACTTTGTGATTACCTAACTGGTTATCAATTATATTATCTATATTGCGAACTGAAAGTGATTGCATTACTTACATATCGTCACGATAACTGTAACGGTTTCTGGTTATACCAAGTCTAATCAATACTTTAATAAAAAGTCTTCCATGCCTTTTATTTGCTGTGCTAAGTTTATAACAGCTCTAAACTAGCAATGAACTGGGATGTAGCAATAAAACTTTTCATATCAACGTTATAAAAAAGAATATATTAAAATTGACTTACTTCGAATTATGCTGCCATCCAGCTAGCACCATTTCTCGACTTAATCCGTGCAAGTTAAGATCGTTTAGAAATAGACCTCGTTCTGGAAGTTCATCTAGGTCGTTTAGTCTGAAACAAATTAGGGTACCCGTGAAACAAACTTTAAAACTTTTGTATAGCTGTAATCCACTGTGGGGGTGGAACAATTCATTTTTAGTAATTTAAATATGGGCAATCACTTATTGTGGACTACTCCAATTTATCATTCTTCTGTTACAGCGTAATTTTTCTTAACTAAATTAGGTTCTTGTGTTGGCTATACATTTCGGCAATCTTTAGAAGACATTTAGAAACGCGAACGTATCGTCCCCACAAAATGACGGATAATCATAGCCAGACATAAATCATTTTATGTTTCAAGTGCATTTATCTTAAAAAGAAAATCGAGAGACAACAGCCGCAAACTGAAAACAGAACATAAATTATGTTGCGTCTTTTACACCGCATAAAACCCCTCGGTATTATTATTATAGAACTTAAATATTATCATGTGCGGCGATTTAAACATAAATAATATGAATAAAAATCGAGCTTTCATATTATTAGAAGACGTAATCGACGCACATAATTTATCAATCCATAACGTTGACGTCCCGACACGAATTTCAACAAGGCTAGGCCAAACCCCATCAAGTAGCATAGACTATTTGATCACGAACTTGGAACTGCACAAAGTAAAGTTTGATGTCGAAGATCTTGGCTATTCCGATCATATGGTTCTACTACGGAAGTGCAAATTGATGGCCACATAGAGCAAACACACCAGACCACCATACATAAACGATATTTCAACGGCCTCGGAATCTTCGAATTTCTTAAACTTTTTACAACGAAAAACCCACCGCATGCTGCTGACACAACCTCATGGGCTTTCGATCGATTTTGGGAACACTTCTTGTGGTGTTTCAATACCGCTTTTCCCTAAAACCACCACCAAAATCAAGACTCCACGACCCCGAAAATTAAAATTCAGTACCGAATTAAACAAAAAACTGAACAGAGTTAAGATGTTAAACTTCTTGAGAAAAACTACACAAGAAAGCTGGCTGGAGCAGCTTTATACAACTGAAAGAAGAAATACACGCATACAAATTCGAAACGAAAAGGTAATCCACTATTCGACCCAAATAGAACGATCGAGCAATAAACCCAAAACATTATGGTTACTGGTGAACTCCGTACTCAACCGAAGTGCGAAAGGGTCTAAATCAGTAACTTACGAAGGCAGATCTATTACACGAAATGATGAATTATGTCATGTATTTGCAGAATTCTTCGAACGTGTAATTCCACGTAAACTGGAAGAACATTTTGGACAACGTGCATCTCAAGCATGCTCCACGTCCGCCAATGTTCCAGAGAGCATGTACCTGAAACCTGTTACATCCTCAGATATATGCTGCATCATAGATGTCCTACAAACAAAAAAGGCAACAGGTTATGATGAAGTACCGGCAAAATTCATCAAACAATATAAAAACACGCTCGCCCATCATCTTGCGGAATCCTTCAATGACTCGTTACAAAGGGGTGCTTTCCCTGACGCGCTCAAGTTAGCTGTGATCATACCGGTTTCAAAAAAAGGGAACCTCACGAACATTGAAAACTTCAGACCGATTGCTCTGTTGACCATAATCTCAAAAATATTTGAGAAGCTTTTGGCGCAGCAACTGTCGGATTTTCTTAACAAACATCACCTCATTACAGAATGTCAACACGGTTTCCGGAAAAATCGTTCGACGGAGACGGCAGCCACGGCTATGATACAAAACATTATGGACCACCTTAACAACGGCAAGACGGTATATGGAATATTTTTCGACATGTCGCGCGCATTTGATACCATAGACATCTCATTCTTGGGAGATAAGATTGAGAAAATGGGAATACGCGGACACGCCATGGCATATATCCTATCCTACTTGAAAAACAGGAACTACATGGTCAAATGCGGCGAGGAACTGTCCAAGCCATTCACAATAAACATAGGCACACCTCAAGGCGGTGTCCTGGGACCTCTGGTGTACCTCCTATACGTAAACGATCTTCCGCAACATATACATGAGGGCGAATTGTATATGTATGCCGACGATACTGCAATTATAGTGTCCCACTCGTCGCCAAAATGTGCACACGTTCAAGTACACCAAGTCATAGAACAATTTAGCCAATGGTGCTCACAAAACAAGCTTATAGTGAACCAGAGCAAAACTGCCATTATAAACTTCCGTCCTCCATCTGCTATCCATGACACATTACCAACAATCAGTACTGTCAAATATCTCGGTATATCCGTGGACAATGATCTAAAGTGGTCTTCACATATAAATGAGCTCGCCAAAAAATTAAACAAGTGTTTCTTTGGTATTATGACGTTAAAGAACTTTTTAACTCAAAAATCATTGTTGAGTGTTTATCACGCTACTGTACATTCACTGCTGTCTTATAATGTTATAGTTTGGGGCCAGTCCTCGGAATTTAATCGTGTTTTTATTGTACAAAAACGTATTCTCAGACTTATATTCAACTTGGGTGGTACCCAATCATGCAGAGATACGTTCAAGAAGTATGGCATCCTAATAGCAACGTCATGTTACCTACATAAAATAGTCAACTACATTTATGTAAATAAACAAACCTTCGCAACACAGGGATTTATCCATGGACATAACACAAGAGGAAAGGAGAGGCTCTACCCGTCCAAACCCAACAGCACGCTGTACAAACGATCTCCTGTATATGCCGGTATTCACTTTTACAACTTGCTTCCAGAACACGTCAAATCATGCTCAACGGCCCAACAGTTCAGCAGAAAAACAAAAAAATTTTTAACAACAAGATGTTACTACACCATCAACGAATACGTTGATGATTGTAAAAGTCTGTGATATTTTAACTTTTTTATGTTGTTACGTGAATGTCTAATGTAAGAACCTGTGATACTCATCTACATAATTTTAACTTATCTATATGTTGTGTCACGTGAGTTTAATGTTTTTTATGTATGACGCGTCCTATGTACTGTTGTATGCCAAAGGAAAAGAATTAAATTGAATTGAATTGAAACTCAATATTACTAAGACAACGTATAGGTTGTGTGCAATAACTATACAGTAGATGAAAATTGTAACTACAACAATGACGCACGTATTACAAGGAAATGCGCATGGAATTAATAAATAGAAGATAATATCAATGAACAATGAAGAATAATCAAGTGGATTATTCCTTGACATTTGTACAAGGAATTCGTCTAAAAAGGGGTACAATAAAATTAGGAGTTAATTGAAACCCATTAGCAGTTAAGTTATCGAGGTAATAAAAAATAATAAAAGATAAAGTATGATTCGAATTATTAATGAAGTGCCATCTACTCGACAAGTTTTGCATTTTTCCTTCAGATTATTGTTAGTCATCGTAAGTTTTATTGACAAATTTGTAATTTCATTTGGTAAGCATATCATCTATTGTAGATGTAACCAACCCATTTCGCGGTTGGTAACAGGAGTATCTTGGAACAGACGCTAAATTAAATTTGATGGGACGTTTAATATAAACTTGCCTTATTCCCACCAAACATACGTTCGTTAATTTTATTAACGTGTCAGTTGTTGAACCCGAGGACCAACAACGAATCCAAATTCCAACTTTTCAGAGAACAAATTTCCAAATGTTTTGGATTGCTTTCGTCAAGATTTCCAATGTTTATCGCCCAATTATCAAAATCCAAATAAAGCGATAAATATCCAACCTATTTGGAAACTACGATTTGGATATCTTATCAGTGGCGCAACAAGATTTCAAAATTTCCAACTTATTTTAGACAAACAATGCAAAGATATCCTATTTTCCAATAAAGGCAAGGTTCAACGTTTTTTCAAATTTTTTATTATACCTGAATCACAATCTCCGTTTTAAACACTCAAAGGCGTGCGAAATAGTATATTAAGAAACAAGTGTATAATCAAATCTTTAAAGCACGCGCAACGAGTTTAATGGCACGACGCGCAGCGGAGTGCCTTTAAACGTTGCAAGTGCTTTAAACACCAATTATACACGCGTTTCTTATAGTATTTTTTATTATACCTGCAATATAATTTAAAAATAAGGGAAATACAATGAAATCATATTGACGTTATACTCGAATACATTTCTAATTAA